GGATCAGGTTCTGCACTTTAGGATTTAAGTCAAAGTTGTGGGGGGGACCATTTGGATGAGTAAATTTTGGCCATACTCAGTTGTATGGCCAGAAGTAGAGCATGAGGCCTTCTGGCTTCCAGTCTCATGCGCAGTCTCCTGTGAGGCCTCCTTGTCAAAGCTCCCCTCCTCCTGAACTCAGTGGTCCCTTGTTAAAGCCAATTAACGATCAACGCCCCCCCTTCGGAAGGGGTGGATTTTGTAACTGTTCCTGTGCTGTTAACATAACAGGGATGTGCACAAGACTTGACTTCCCTATGGTCTTTGTTTTGTATAGTTTGAAAACCAAATGTTCATTGTGAAAAATATTCAGGTAAAACAAATGAAACCGATCTTTTGGCTTGGCAACTACTCTTCTTTAAATATAGATTTCAAGTGCTTGATGCTGTATTGTTTCAGGAATGTCTGTACTAACTCCCCTGAGTTACGTGAGCAGCTGAAAGCTATTGCAGACCTTTACTTAATTTACTGAACATCTTTTTGCCTTCTCCTATTTTTCTCCAATTTAAAAAAAAAAAAAAAGCCTGAAGTTTATTTAAGTAAGTATGCGAATTTGCATTTCTACAAAGGGACTCAAAAAATCAAATTCCTTGATGGGGTTTGTAGAACATATTTTTTAACCTTTAGCTCATGTGTATATACCTTTTTTCTGCCCACAAGTCTTCATTTTATAGAGCTTGGAGGGAGACTGCAGTAACATATGTCATATTTGCATTACGTTTGTCTGCATCTTGTCCAGAGCTCTAATGGAAGGTTTATTACATTATCCTCCTCTTGTGTGTGCAGTAAGTTAGGGCATGATCTAACTGCTGTCAGAATTAGCACAATTACACTCATTTACTTTAATTGGGTGTTTCCATTGCCTTTAGGGGAGTTGATACAAACCATGAGGAAAGGTTATTATGCAATTTACTTTATATCTGTTCAAAAGCATAAGCTTTGGAGGAAGATTGCATGTGACACGCGGCTTGCATATTGTGGGTGTCTCACTTTCTCCAAATAATGTGGAATTCAGACTCGGCTGCAGATGGAGATGCGGGAATCAGGTCCTGCCATTTGCCTCTTTTCCCCCAAACAGGTTGACTGTTCTCCTCTTCTGAGAAGGGTTTATTTCTTTCAGAACATACACTGTAATCATTTGCTGCCCAAACATTTGGATTGCTTTGGGTTAATTTAGAATGGAAAAAATCTTTGGTGTTTTGTCAATAATGCTTTAATGCTAAGTCTTGCCCTCTTCTTTTGCAGTGGAATCTGGTGTGTGACGATGACTGGAAAGCTCCTTTAACTACCTCCTTGTTTTTTGTGGGCGTGCTAATCGGATCTTTTGTATCAGGACAGCTCTCAGACAAGTAAAGTATATACTGGTTCTTGATCTGATTACTATTTTTCAAACAATTCTTAAAGTGAATTCAACCAGTGTAATCTTTTCATACTGTGGTAAAAAGTTATGCTCTTTGGCTAAACTGATCCTCATATTTCTGTGACCTTTTTCAGTGCTAGTATTGGTAGCCTATAAGAAAACACTAGCGAGGTCGGAGTGCTGTTATGTTTGCTGTTGGGTCATCTATTCTGTAGACAAAGCTTTGGTGCAGCATGCAGCACCTAAAATCAAGGCAAAATGCTATTACGGGGGCCTTTTTTTTCCAGGAGGAGGTCAGTTCTCAACTCATTCATCCATGAAAAGACACAGTTTTACAGGCTGTTCTTGAAAATCAGATCCTGGTGTACTATCTGATTTTCTTTGAACTATACTTTATTCTTGGTACTTGCCCTACTCATGTTTGCTTTTCCCTAGGCCAAGTCAAAAGCTCCCCTTGTACAAATGTTTATAGCTTCTCTTGTACCTCATGTCAAATTCAAGGTCTAAGTCCAACATTTTGTGTTCGTGGAGTCTGGAAAGCATCAATGTTTCTTATCAGTCTCCGTAACACAGATGGTTGTTGCTGTGTTTTCTGACCCAGCTGATACCAGTACCATGGGTTGTTCTGTTTGTCTGCACAAAGCTGAAAAAAATAGTAGCACTCTTGAATTTCAAATAGCTAAATTTTGTTTTAAATTGTGCTTTGCAAGCTGGATGAGGTCTAACATGCATCCCAGCATGTGGCAGCCACTCGGTTCCCATTGAATAATGTGGGGCAGGGGGGTTCTGTTTGATGATTTAACAACAAAACTTGTATAGGTTTACAGCTTTATAGGCCAAATCCTGAAGTTCTTACTTGGGCAATGCCTCTGTCAGTTTTAATGAGATACTAATGAGGTCTCATCTCTGGGATCCAGCCCTCTTATTCTTCTGTCAAGGACAGACTTCTGTTGCAGGGCTGTATCAGTACTGATATTGCTTTTTGCACCATACTAGTGAAAATGGGGTAGCACAGATTTCAATACATGCTGGCAACCAGAATACAAACTCTGTGGGAAACCTGTGTGAAAATCTGTGTTGCCTTGTTACCTGTGCTATGTGAATTAAGCTATCATTCATAGGCTAACGTGCAATCTAGTCACACCACCATTTTGCTGTATAAACGTACCCTTCGAATCTGACACTGGTGAAGGAAGACTCGGCAGTGTTTGTACTTTAGTGATAACATAAAGGAACACTGCTGAATATAACCCCTGCTAATACGTCAGTCAGTCAATCCTGAGGCCACACAAACCATTTGGGCACTTTCGGTAGAGCAATAACTTTCCTCCATTCATCCTGGTCTTTTGCAATCCCTGTAACAATCGGTCAGTTTTAATCCTGTCCGGTCTTTGATGTTGCTGGTCCAGCCCATCCTAGGTCTTCCTCTTCATCATCCATCCACAGAACCCTGCAGGATGGTGTTGGCAAGGGTAATTCTGCTAATACATATAGCATATCTTCTGCTGATATTAATACAGTAGTATGTACGTATGGAAGCTAGCTCAATAACTAGAACACCACGCTATCCCATGGGAGATTGTTTAGGCAACTTTTTACTCCCATGGAGTTCTCCACTATGGTATGTCTTGTACTGTAACACCATCTAGAAGTCTGCCTCTGAAATAGTAGCACAGATATGTTGCAGTCTGCCTTTCTGGGCTCATAGCAGGCAGTGCTGTTCAATATGCTCTAAGGCAGTGCTGCTCAATATTTTGGCCCTGTGGGTCACATGAAAGGTGCAGGGCCAGTCTGCAGGGCAGACCACAGCAGGATTGGGCCTTCGTGGCCTTGGTAGGCCTTCACATCTCCCCCACATGGCCCTATGCCACCCTTTGTGCCTGATCTAGCATGCAGGGCCACAGCCCAGGGGGCTCTCCATGGACTTGTGGGGAGCCCCATGGACCAGATGACACAGCTCCAGGGGCCAGATGCATCTCATGGGCCAAGAGTTGAGCACTTCTCATCTGAGGAGGCGCTACTTCACGGTCAGGGCGGCTAGGATCTGGAACCAACTTCTAAGCGAAGTGGTGCTGGCTCCTACCCTGGGGGTCTTTAAGAGGAGGCTAGATGTACGCCTTGCTGGGGTCATTTGACCCCAGTACTCTTTCCTGCCATGGCAGGGGGTCGGACTAGATGATCTACTCAGGTCCCTTCTGACCCTAGAAACTATGAAACTATAAGGGGTAAGATTAAGTGAGGAAGCAGCAGATCAGAGCGAATAGGTGAGCTAAAACCTTATGCTGCTTCATTTGTGCATCATTGTTTCTTATGCTAAACTAAAATTTATACCGTACCCCTTACTGCCATATCTGGCCCTCCTTGTACAATTGCTGTGTGTTGACCGAGCTTAATTATGAAGTGGAATTATATATGTGATCAGCAGGGTTTCAGCCACCAAACTGGGAAGGCAAGGCAAGCTATGATATTTAGATAACCAGGCCAAAATACAAATATAAACTGAACCTGCCAAAGCATTGAGGCTAAAACTTCTGTTCCAATCATAAGTACCAGAACTTAGTCTCAAACTCACTCAACCCTTATGTTGGTAAGGAACACAGTCCCATTGGAAATCACTTGAGCTATTAACAGATCAAGGTGTCACTTGGTATAGCTGAGTTAGAATTGCAGAAATAGCTCCTTAATAACCATAACTAGTATGTTCCTGAGGCTTGCTGCTTCTCTAAAAGACTCCACCTCTCCACCTAATGTTTAATGTCTCAGTGGAATATGGATTTGATATTGACTTGGAGGAGAAAGGGAACAGCTTTTTTGAAACACCAGTACCTAATCAGATGCATTGCAGCTAACTCCTTTTCTAGATGGCTACACATGTCCATGTTCAGTCCAACAATGAAGAGATAACCTCCCACCACAGCTCCAAAGAAGCCTTTTATTACAGCCCTTAAGATATTCTAATTTTGCCCAGTGAGATTCTTAGTGTATTTCTTAGTGTATGTATGCTTTTCTGCTGCTGTCTGAGTTGCTCCCTTGTTCATGTAGATGCACAGATTTCTTTCACAAAGGTTTATTTTATAACCCTCTTACATTTTTTTTTGTCTTTGTTCTTTGAAGATTTGGCAGGAAGAATGTTCTGTTTGTGACCATGGGGGTGCAAACTGGCTTCAGCTTTCTGCAAGTCTTCTCCATCAACTGGGAGATGTTTTCAGTGCTCTTTGTCCTCGTCGGCATGGGACAGATCTCTAACTATGTGGCGGCTTTTGTGCTTGGTACGAAAATGTGTTATACATAACCTGTGTTCTGTGGCAATGTCCTCTTCCTCCCATCCCCAGCTAGCAATGGCAATTTTATTCCCAAGTAGCACTTTTAATAATAATATAGCCTTATGGGTAATTTCCAGTCTGTTTCAAAATGTCCTTTTGGTAAAATAGCAAGATAGTACTAGTAAACTTCTTTGTTTGCCAAATTAAAATAAGCAAACGAAGAAAATCGGAACTGATATTTATCTGAGGCAAAAGCATCCTGTAATTGGAGAGCTTGTGGTACATGTTCCTTAATATGCAGGTAGAGGCACAGAACCAGTAATTCAAAGTTTTAGATGCTGTCCTTTAGATCTAAATACATGTTTGTTTATAACAATTACAAATTTGAAGGATGACTTGAGAATAACCTGTTGTAAAAATTAAACTGTCATATCACCTCTGTCATTTCATCCATTCTGTTATAGCAAAGAGTAAGTGGTATTTGATTGGAAGTGAAATAGGCTCAACATTGGTCTGAAGAAATATTTCTATGTGGCTGGTTGTTGGGGGGTTGGTTGTTTGTTTTTTGTATTTTGGCCAGAACACCCTTGTGGAGCTGTCAAAGGTTAACTTAAAAACACTTTGTTTTATGCAAGATTCACCAGGCAGAGCCTAGAAAAATAGGCTTTTTAAGGAGTTTTTAATTTGGTGTTGGATGAAGAATTCTAGGAGTTCAGAATCAGAAATAATTTGCTTGCTGGCTTAGAAGAGCTTAAACTCCCCATTTTGCTGTCTTTATTCATACCAGTACTTCCCATGAGGAAGAACTGGTGATGTGAGAGAGATCTAGTGATTATTTCTTTAAAACGGGGGGGAAAATGTCTAATATAATGATCCATTGTAGCATGTCAGGAGTAGTTTTGCTAAAGGGTAGTTCTGGTTCTTATGTAGCATTATCATATTTGACTGCTTTTGTTTTGTTTGTTTTTATTGTAATGCTAATTTGCACTCCCTTGTTTTGAACAGGCACGGAAATTCTTGGCAAATCAGTTCGCATAATATACTGCACGTTAGGTGTTTGCATATTTTATGCATTTGGCTACATGTTGCTGCCGCTGTTTGCTTACTTCATCAGAGACTGGCGGACACTGCTTCTGGCTCTTACTTTACCTGGGCTGCTCTGCATTCCTCTGTGGTGGTGAGTGCATCTACCTTCAAAGGTGTGAGGCTTTGAAAAGTCTCAGCTGTGGCTGCCAGGATTCAGATGCAAGGTGCTACATGACCACAGTGTTGGATCTTGGCACAATGGTGGCCCTTAGAAACAAGTTATTACTTGAAACTGCGTGCATGCATGTGTGTGTCCTCTTGTCCAGCAGTTAGGTTAAAAGCATAGATAATAGAAATAGCCAGGTTTAATCTGTTCCATTGGATCTTGTTTCTGTTCAGTTCTTCCTCTCAGTGAGTGACGTAGGCAGAGTCACTTTTCAATTATGCCAGTATAAATATCTTTTATACCAGTGTAACTGGGATCAGAATCCAGCCCACTGGTAGCGCTGTTTTACATAAAGCAACAGGTCAGTAAACTCATGTGCAACCAGGCAGATGGCACTGTAGCACCAACACAGAATCCTAAACCCCATCAATCAGCACCATTTAGGTTAACTGATCTCTGCTGTATTTGAAAGTCAGAGGGGGATGGACAGTAAACTTATCTCCCTTTTCCTATTCAATAATGGGAAAAGAGCAGCTGTGAGGGGATTTAATTCTTTTTTCCCTCTGCCCACATGTATTTTATGGGTCATTCTGCAAAGTGCTATTATGTCCATGGCACTGAGTGACATAATGATAACAACACCTGAAGTCCCACTTTAAATGTAACGCTTCTGAAAGCTAAGTTGCAGCACTGGAGCATTACTGCTGTAAAGCTGGATGGCATAAGCATAACTTAAATTTGAAGCTGTTTCATGAACTGCTAAGCTGTAGAAACGGCAACCCTAACCAATGACCAAAGTCATCATGGACTACTTGTCAATAATGATGAGTTATGAAATACTGTTTTATATTCAGTATTATAATAACATAATTTGAACCCACAGATCAGATATTTGGATGCCAACGAGTTATAAAAATATATTTGCAACTGGTACAAAATCAGGAGCCAAATCAAGCCTGTTGACGAGAAGTCTGCACACATTACAACTGTGCAGCAGCTCTGCTACAGTTAAGGTTTTAAAGGTGTTGCCCTCCACTAAACATTAGATTAGACATCCTTAAGAACTACTTCACAGTTAGGGCTGCTAGGATCTGGAACCAGCTTCCAAGGGAAGTGGTGGTGGCTCCTACCCTGGGGGTTTTTAAGAGGAGGCTTGATGCCTACCTAGCTGGGATCATTTGAGCCAGGGGAGGAACAATCGGCACCATACATACAGGCTGGGGAACTCCCCTCTTGTCAGCACGGAGGTGGAAAAGGATCTGGGAGTCATTATTGACTCCAAGATGAACATGAGTCGGCAATGTGGGGAGGCGGCTAGGAAGGCCAACTGCACCTTGTCGTGCATCCACAGATGCATCTCGAGCAGGTCCAAGGAGGTGATCCTCCCCCTCTATGCGGCACTGGTCAGGCCGCAGCTGGAGTACTGCGTCCAGTTCTGGGCGCCGCACTTTAAGAGGGATGTGGACAGCATGGAGAGGGTCCAGAGGAGGGCCACTCGTATGATCAAGGGACAGCAGGGTAGGTCCTATGAGGAAAGGTTGCGGGACCTGAACCTGTTCAGCCTTCAAAAGAGAAGGCTGAGGGGGGATCTTGTGGCCTGTTATAAACTGGTTAGGGGGGATCAGCAGGCGCTGGGGGAGTCCCTGTTCCCCCGAGCGCCGCAAGGAGTGACCAGGAACAATGGTCACAAGCTGGCGGAGGGAAGGTTTAAGTTGGACATCAGGAGGCGCTACTTCACGGTCAGGGCGGCTAGGGTCTGGAACCAGCTTCCAAGTGAGGTGGTGCAGGCTCCCACCCTGGGGGTTTTTAAGAGGAGGTTGGATGACCACCTTATTGGGGTCATTTGACCCCAGTGCTCTTCCTGCCATGGCAGGGGGTCGGACTAGATGATCTGCTCAGGTCCCTTCCGACCCTGGAAACTATGAAACTATGAGCCCAGTTTTTTCTCCTGCCCAGGCAGAGGGTCGGACTTGAAGATCTATAAGGTCCCTTCCAACCTGACTTCTATGATTCTATGAAACACTCTAAAACCTACATGCTTGCTTTCAGTGCCCCAAAACTTAGCCTGTACCCTGCAGGTGCCAAGTAAGGAGAGCGTTCCAAGCTTGTGCTTATTTGAGCAAGGAGTTCCTCAGCCACAGCCCTCTACCCAGGCATATTAATATGTGGGGCCTGGGCCCAGGAGCCCCTGCCAGTCAGGAGCCCCCTGGGAAAAATTCCCAGGGGAGGCTAACTGTGTGTGCCGGGAACAAGCTATGAATGGCTGCCTTCCTGGAGGCACCGCAGCACTGGAGGACACCAAACACCAGGCTGAGGCGGAGCTGACGTGCATGGGGACTGGCAGGGGTCCTGCCCTGAGCTGTGGGCAGCACTATGGGAAGAGCTGGTTGCAGCGCGGGTGCATGGTTGGGGGCCTGGTGGAGCTGCCCAGCGCACACTCCTATCTGGTGATTCTGTAGCTGGGGTAGCAGTTCTGTGGGGGCAGCCCCCTCACCTTGTGTTGGCTGCTCCCAGCCATGCACTGTCTGCAGCACTGGCAAGGCTCCGCGGGCAGATGGGCAGATGTGGCTCTCAGGGCCAGCCTGGGGCAGGACTGGGCGGGGAGCCAGCGGCTCCTGCCATGCCCAGCAGGCCCGACATATCCGAGATCGGGCTCGGGTTGACCTGCTAGAGTGCTAACATCTGCAGGTCTGCAGAACTTCAGGTGGAGAGCTACGTGCTCCATGACAACTGCTCCCAGGCCACCAAGCACCATGACATCGGTGAGCCCCTGGCCCAGCCACAGCTGCAGGGCCCTTTCCTCCCCACCAGCCACCCAGGGCACCCCCATGCCTTGCCTTGCCGTGATTCATTCATGTTAATAGTGGGGTGTGGGAAGCCTCCAGTTTTCTGTTTGCCCAGTGCCCCAGTAAGTCTTAATCTGCCTCTGCTGGTCCCCAAAAGCTCTTGTAAAGTTTCTCAGATTCTGCAAGCACTTGATTATGCAGATCTGCTTGGGGATTAAATTGTGGACCTCCTTATTCCCAAAATGGTCCCAGGTGCTTGACATGTATTACTTCTAGTGCTTGGGAAATAAAATTAGAAAAAATAGCTAGCAAGGCATGGGGCTCTTCAGGATTGTCCCTAGCATCAACTGGACAGATTGCCCTGCATGAGCACAAGCTGGGGAGGTTCACAGTTTCCATCACAACTGAGTAGCTCAAGGTGGCCAGTGATGGTTTGACTCCAACTGTTTTGGTGGGAGGATGACCCTTGTGAATGTTCCTACATGAAGAAACCCCCACCCTGTGTAGGTGCCTGAACCCCTCAGCCTTCCCTTATGTGAGTGAGTAGCTGGTGAAACCCTGGTTGTTCATGGGGGAAGCTGAAAACTGGCCTGTTGGAAACAAGCTCCAAGCCTGCAGTGACTAGGGTAAAGAATCAAGACCAGACATACGTGATGTGTATCACAGTCTCTTGAGCACTGACTGAGGATGGAGTCACCTTTGAGATCTGTTGCTCCAAACTGTATTCATCTCTTGGGCATGCTCTACGCAATGTGCTCACAGGAATGGGCTGCTGTATAGTCCCCTGAAAGCTCCTTTCTTCAATGGGTTAACGCTTCTCCAAAAGTTCTAAAATATACACAGTTGCTTGGGTTTGGCGGTGCGGAGTGGGTTAGTTGGGCAAATTTGAGATTATATAAATCTGGGGGTTTTGAGAGAGAACTTGGACGAGAGCATTTTCAAGGTGACATTTTATTGGCATTTTTTTTACGTAAAGCCAAGTAATCAAGCTATGCCTCTGATCTTGATTACACCCCATGAGGAAGTGATATATAGAACCTGATATTCATTAAAGAGCAAAGACCTAGATAGAAATACAGGACCTGGGGGGGGGCCTGGTCTCTCTGGGGGTATCTGATGCTTCTTTCTGCTTCTCCTCGAGAGCTAGGATCTGGGGCAGAGTCCTTCCCTTCTTTGGGAGTCTAAGCCCATTTTCCTGTCCCCCAAGTAGGAGCCCTGGTCTGTGGAGGGTCTTTCTCTTCTGAGGTGTTTGAGACCCTCTTCCTGCCTCCACATATCTGGGGGAGCGCCCCCACTAGCATGATCTGGGCCTCTCCTCTTCTACCATATGAGACATGATCTGGAGGGCATGAAGGTAACCCAGATTTAAACCTCTGAAACCAAGAAACAAGTTAAGGTACTGTACTACCGGGGGCAGCTGGCAAGAGCTGAAGGTGAGGGTCAGGAACAGGGTAGCAAGGTGGGCCAAGGGCATGGCTGGGGAAAGCTGGGTGCAGCAGACAGGGGTATAGCAGGTGTGAGAGGCCTGGGTCAGCACGCAGCTGGTGTAGATGAGCCAGGCAAGCTGCTGCCTGTCAATACCCAAGCATAGCAGCAGAAGGCAGCAGACAGCAGGAAGTGACATTTTCCAAGGTACTGTTTTCTAAACTGGCTTACTGAACTGGGAAGGCGAGCAGGGTTGGGGAGTACATTATGTGGGATAGTGGAGCAGATGTGGAGAAGACCACAGAGGCATGCACATACACACCTCTCACATTCTTGATGCAGTCAGTGTATAATAAAACTGCCAAGGTTTGGGGACAGAGGTGGAAGCTTTGATTTACTCCCAAGTCGTCACTAGCAAATTCACACCCCATTCCAATGCATAATAGTGCAATATGGCATCCAGTCCTTTACTTCAGGGTAAGTGCAGGTGAACTAGTCAGCTGTTTTGCAGTAAGCCTTGCTCCCTGGTAACCTGCTGTGACAAAACCCTAGGTATCCAGGTGCTCCCAGAGATGCCCACTGGCTTTCTGTGAGCTTGTCAGTCTTCTTGTCTGTGAAATGGGTGTGCCCGGGTTATCGATTTGCTGAGAAATCACAATTTACCAAGAGCTCTTCAGTAAAGTGACAGAAAAATTAAAAGAAGAACAAAAGAACAAGGGATCAAATACTTTGAAATCAAAGCTGACAAAATCCTTACCCTATGTTCAGACTATCATCCAGGCCTCATAAAAATGCCTGTGAAACCCCTCTCAGTCACAGACAGCTCCTCAGCTGCAGCTGTCCTCACAGGGAGCCCCCTCTTTCATAATGGACACGGCCTCCACACAGCCTCCCCCACCTAGGGTGGCCATCATAGAGGACCTTACAGTTTTGGGCTACTCTGTCCTCTATTGATACAAAACCCGATGCCTTTTATGTCTTTCAAGAAAAAAATAGAGTACATAGGCATCCAGTTTCGTATCAGTAGAGGACAGAGGACAACCAATGGCCACCCTATGGCCCCACCTGCTGTCAGGGGAGCCAGAGAATCCTCTGCCCGGATCTGTGACACCTGCCTCAATTTGATGGTGTGTTTATAGCCACCCTCTCCCTTTTATAGGGTACTGAAGTGGGAGCCACCCACATCTGCTCTCCAGATAAACTGTGGAGCTCACACCAGAAAGAGAAATGTTATTGCTGAATTTTACATCCTCTTCACTGCCCTTCACGAGCCCTTCCTCATTAGGTAGATAGTGTTATCTACTGCTAGACTTTCTCCCATCCCCCATTAAATGCACAGGATATTCTTGCCTCCCACCTATTTGCTGACAGTCCCCATGACAAGAAGACCCCTGGCTTCCTCTCCCCCATCCCTGCTGATGCAGGCTGCACAATAGAGCTGCCAAAGGAGCACCTTGGATCTCTCTTGGTGCACAAGGATTTCTTTTCTCTGATCATGCAGAGATTCCCTCCTCCACCATGGGGCTGGCCCACAGATGAGATCAGCTCATATCAGGAGCTCAGCTCTGCTCTCCTGCCTCCGCTAATCACTGCACCGATCAGCACGGCTACATGGTCAGACTGGACGCTGCTGGAGTGCTGTCAGACCACTGGCTTTGGTGTATTGCAAGTTTTGGGGACGAAGTTAAGGCACGTGTCCCAGCATCCTTAACTCTGTCCTGGGTTTCAAAGGTTTGGGTTTTGCTGGACTTGATGTTCTGGAAGAGTATGAGATGCCCCCTGTTTTTTATTATTTAATATGTTGAAGCTCAATGGTTCTTGCCACCTGCTGGCAGAAAGGTCTGCGCTGATTTACAGGGCTGCTTGGAAATGCTAGCAGGATTTCGACTTGGGTTGATATGTGTGCTATTTCCCTTGTACCTTCGTGATTAACCTGCTTATCAGGTTTTTTTGAAATTTTGTTTTTCAGCAACTTTACTTGCCCATGAACAAAGTGTACCGAAGTAAATGTTGTATATCTCTGTATGGTATCCATTAAATCGCCATGTGCAGCTGCCGTTAACAGGACACTGTCGCATCAGAATTTACCCCCAAGTATTGCTAAGAATACTTATATTCAATCCAAGAAAAAGATGAAAGCAAACAGGTCTTATAGAATAAATGATCATCCTCCTCTCTAGTGTTCATAGCTTGAACAGTGTAGCTTTACACTAGTTTGTGAGAACCCAACAGTGAAATTGGGCAAGCTGGGTAAAGTGCAGTGTGCAAGGGGAAGACAAATTAAATGCGTTTAAAATTCACTTTGAATAAACATTTGTTCCACAAATAAGGGGAATATTTTTCTCAGGTCCGTGCTGTCATTGCTTCTCTTGAGTGAAAGAGGAAAGAACAAATGCTCTTAGTTTGAGGTCTGCTAGAAACAGCACAACAGCCTCTGGCCCTGACTGCCTTCCTCTGCACCACGCCATGCTCGGGGCTGATTGGGGCAGGCTGTAAAGCTCCTTCCTACACAAACCCATCCCTTGTTTTTTGAAACAGTGGTTTGAGTCCCTTAGCATTTCAGGAAGAAGGGAATGACTGAATGTTGTTCCCATTGAAGTCTGTGGGCTACACTGAGAGTCAGTGTTTGATCAGGGCACAGCTGGAAGGCACTGGTTTGTGGGAGGTGAGGGCTGTGCCTTTTTATTTACAATAAGCAGCACTTGGGCATCTCTGTGATCTCTGTTTTCCTTCACAAGTTAACTGAGTGCTGTTGTTTTCTAAGCAATCCATGAGGTGGTGCTACTTCTCTTCTTAAATACTGGGCAGCTACCTACCCCAGTCTTTCTCTTGTGAAGATGAATAGTTAGTAAATTCCCTGCGTCTCATCCAATAATAGCTTCTCCAGTTGTTAATTTTTGTATGTATTGTCTGACTAATACCATCCTTCAACGGAATACAGCGTGTGCAGTTTCATGCTGCCTTAATTTCTTTAGATAAAATATTTCCTTTCTGTACTTTGTAAATGGTGCACACCCCTTCATGCCTTTTGAAAGCAATGGAAACATTTTAGTGTGTTTCTTTACAGTACGCTAATATGCTTTTCATCACTCTGCAATTTTAATCTCTCCAAGATCCAGCATGTTAAATTGCTGGTGCTTGTGGCCATGTGCATGCCTGTCTCTTGCAACAGTGGTCTCTTGGAAAGGCATACATACTTATTCTGAAACTTATTGCAGGGTCATCCCAGAATCCCCCCGGTGGCTAATCTCCCAAGGAAGATTTCAAGAGGCAGAAATGATCCTCCGTAAAGCTGCAAAACTTAATCGGATTACAGCTCCCGATGTAATATTTGACCCTATGGAGGTAAAATTCACGTGTGTTGAAACTGCATGGTGCTCTGATTACTGTTAAAGATGTTTTTAATTTTTGGTTTTTCTCATTTGCATTAGGGTAGTTCTTACTATGTGTCTGGCCTTTTCTCTATGGGTAAAATATAATCCCTGCCTCGAGGACCCAATGAGTGAATCCCTTCCCTTGTCTTTCCTATTCATAAAACTTCTGACCCCTCTGCCATCTCCATTCCAGTTGTGGGGATGGCACACTACGGCTTTGTTCTGTACTGTAGCCATGTGTGCCTTTTGGACAGGGGCTAGATTTGTTGGCTAGCTTACTCCTTGCTCAGTGCTGTATCATATATTCCCTGGGGCTATGTATGCGTTCTGCTATCTTATAAATACCTGAAAATACTCATTGTCAGTCTGCTGAAGCAGGACCTAGTTGTGGGATGAGGAGTGTTTTTGGATTTTCAGGCTGTTTTATAAGGTGCAGTTCTTTCACCTTTTTTGTAGCCTCTAATCTTGGTCATAAAGACCAATGTCCCAGCCAGAAACCCAGTCCTCCAAAAGGATGAGCAAGGGGACAGCAAAGTAGGGCCATACCCATCTTAAAAAATAGAGAGATAATTGTAAATGCTGTAAACCCCCATTACTGAGGGACCAGTCCTGACAAAGGAGAGTCCCCCCTCTGCCCTTGTTTTGAGGATGTCCTTACCAACTAGTGTCCCTCAGGGTCTAGGTGTTTTGTTTTAGTGGGATCTAATGTAACCCTGCCTCTAACAGCATGACAGGACCAAGCCCAGCCATGTCCAGCTACAGCCTTGCTGGAACCTTAATTCATATGAGATCAGGCTTTCCAATATTTTTGTTCAGTACTTCCTGCTTTCATCAGGATGGAGATACTATCTACCGAGACTTTTCTGAGCCTTCAAAATTGCGTCTTTGGCACTAAGTAGCCTCTGAATCCATTGTGTTAACTGATACCAGTGCAGACATTGGCAGAAATGGATTAGCATTTGCTATGCTGCACTGCACATCTAGAGTGGCAGGAAATCAGGCTCATTCAGGGCTGGAATGTCCCTAGTAACTGGAAGTAGGTAAGGCAGGGTGATACCTTGGAGACTAACTGGTTCAGAGGCATGAACTTTTTGCAGGCAAGGACCTACTTTATTGGATGCTATGATTGTTGCCTATGAAAGTTCATGCCTCTGAACTAATTAGTCTTTGACGTATCATCCTGCCTTGCCTTTTCTGCCTGACTTTAGACTAACAGAGCTAACCACCTCTCAAGTAACTGGAAAGTCTGTACGTTCCTTAAATTATAAGTGTTCCCTGAGCGTATGTCCACTCACCAAGACAAAGGGGTGATTATAGCAGGGGCAAGTGTACCTCTACCCTGGGCTGTAGTAGAAGGGAAGAATGTCAGGGTGTCCAAAGAGCTTATGCTCTGGTTGTGCTGAAACCTGAGCCACTGGGTCTTGGCTGTAGTTGTTACCAGGACTGGTTTTCATTTTGCAATGTGGATATATTCTGTGATTGTGCAAGGCCCATTCTAGTGCAGTCCGAGTCCTGGTCAGGGCTGCTGGACACACTTCTAATCTAAATTTTACATGAAAGAAGATGCAGGTGCAACTTGACATGCCTGTCAAGACTTCTTAGGATAGAGCCATTACTCTACATCCTTCCCCTGCTTCTACCTAGTGTCCCTGGAGTCTTTTTGTCTGGTAGAGCTGTTGCTAAAACATCATAGGCCAAAAACAGACTTCAGGTTTAATCCTGGGATGATCTGACTTGCATTAAATCAGGTAGAGGAAGGATACACACATGCATGCCACCCTCCCCCCCCCCCCC